TATCTAACACACCAATGCAAAATCAAACGACTACATTGGTTCTCAAATACCTTAGGTCAAGAATCTTGAAAATATCGGTTACTTGGGATTTACCGAGAAAAACAGCAACTATACAGGAAAACAAAAAAAGTAGGCTGGAAAAATCTCAAATTAACATATTTCAACAATTGACATTTTCGTGTTGCTTCAGAAACACTCACTCTTTGATGACAAAAATCTATAAGGAAAGGACTTATAATTTTATATTAATGACAAAAATACTACGGAATGCCTCTGTGGAAAGAAAAACCAATCAGATTACTAACATGTAAAATAAAGAACACTTGGGTCTAAAACACAGACTCTGACTGTCTATAAGGTGAACTAGTAAACCCACTGCAAACTCATCTTTCCTCTCTCCTATAAAACAAAAAAGCAGGAACAAATGTGTTGTGAGATCACATCCGAAGATCCTGACATGAACACAATGAGAGGTATGTTAGGTAGCAGGAGAAGCAGCCATAAAGCAGGACCTGTGAGTTCCTGGCATACGCTACTTCCCGCGCCCACCAGCTCACGTAAGTCTTCATTACTGGGAAAGGAGGGAGGGAGATGAAGAAATAACTGAGGTGCACTATGTACATGCACCAGCTCCCCACAAGGAACGGTACCATTATGTACTGCAAACACGGACTGTAGCTAAGGTACATTTTACATTATGAAGACTAATATTCTGGCAGGAAACTGAAGATGAAAACGTCACCCCTGGTATGATATTAACTGAGATACATTTTATATCTGCAAGACAGATTCATAGCTCTGATGTGAAAAAATGGGCACTGGAAATAAAAGTCTGAGAAGAAATATCTTAAGAGTTTAGCACTAATAGCTGGATCCATAACTAAAATTAAGCACACAAATATGATTTTTATTGAAGGCTAACATACAAAGTGCTTCATACAATTCATTAAATGAGTAAAAAAGGCTAGAAACCACATCCAGGTTCAAAGACTAACATGACCAAAAAACTGCGTGCCAAGAGCTAAAACAATTTCTTTCAAAATAATAAAAATAAGGATCCTTTTCTTACAACATTCGCCACTTTCACATTCAAATTTTTGTTTTAAAAATTACTTACTCAATTCACTAAGTAATATTCATTTATTGGAAATTAAAATGTCAGTCTTGCTGTATATCAAGCATAGCCTAAAGTGTCATATTTTGGCCTAGGATTTGAATTTTTAAAAATAATGTCGGTTGGTGATTACGAGATCAGTTGGGGATGTTGCTCAGTGATAGAGAATACTTGCCTGCTATGCATTAGATCCCAGGTTCAATCCCCAGTACTACAGAATAATAATGTTAAGTAATTCCATGAAAAATAACGTTTCATACCAGGTTGCCTAGAGTTCTCTATAATTACTTAAAAACTGAAAGCATGGACTGGGGGATCAGCTCAGGTAGAATGCTTGCCTAGCAGCCTGAGATCCCAGGTGCTAGCTCCAGTTCCAAGGGGTGGGGGAATGTTGGGGCACTATCACTTAGGAAAGTATCTAGACAACCCAGTTCTAAATTAAGAATTCCTAAAGTTTTCACATCATTGTCAAACTAAGTTGACTTTTAAACAAGTCAAGTATATCACTCCTTGGGAAGATAAGGAAAACCTTAGCACAAGTGACAAATGTAAGATTCTTTAAGATTAAGAAATTCAGCCCTACTTCTATCATCTTTCTTTCTCATTAGTTGGGTATAGAGCTGAATGCTTTACAGTTCATGGTATATAACATAACTCTACTGTGTAAATTCACTTGTATATCTCTATAAACAACAGAAGTGGACTGGGGATATAGCTCAGTGGCACAAGCACCTGCCTGGCAAGTGCAAGCTCCTGAGTTCGATTCCTGGTACCAAAACAAAACAAAACAACAGAAGTAAAAAACAACTATTAAAATATACATCCCTTGTCTACCATGCTCATTCTGTGCAGGGCTTCTTTTAAGTGGCAAAATAACTCAGTACTAGCATTCAATTCCTGTGTACAACTATTCTACTACTCTATGTCTGTACCTTCTGCCCTTATGGCCTTTGGCTGAGTGGACCACTGAGCACAGGACAGCGGGGAACCTGTACAGAGGTTCATCTACAGACTCTCACCAGACATCACACAAATACAGGGAAACGTACAGGCTGACTGACAGAGCAACTGTGTGTATACCTCATCCTCAGAGCGACAGGTCCTGGAAAGGGGCTCAAACTGGGCAACGACAAGATGACAATAGCCCTCGCTTTGCTCAACTGCCAATTTCATGCCAACTGGTACAAAGACTTCCAATTCAAATCTAATTTTATGAACCAAGGAAATAATAATGATGCAAACATCCTACGTTGAATCTGAAGTTACGTTTCCTAACTTGAATGTTTTATTAAACTTTAGTGTAATGAATACTGATTGAGCTTGAACTACACAAGAGTAGCCAGGCAGAGCCTGCAGAGCACCCAGTTGGTAAAAGATCTCCAACAAGCTTTGTTAAACCACAACCTATTCTTATACTCATCTGAAAATTAGCTTAAAGCTATAAGTTAGGTTCCACTTAATTACACTGGGACCTTTTACGGACTGGCACCACACAGAGCACTTAGCGTAAGTAGGTCCTTGGTAGATGTTTTTTTTTTTTTGGTTTTTCTCCGGTACCGGGAACCGAACTCATGACCTTGCGCTTGCCAGGCAGGCGCTTTGCCGCTGAGCTAAATCCCCAGCCCCCCTTGGTAGATGTTTACAAAATTAAATTCATATTCATATCAACCAAGTTTAATATAGTAGTAGAAAAGAGAAAAACTACTTTTACTTAACAAAGATCTGGCTTAAGCAAAATGACAGAAGACACCACAGAATTTATCTTCCTCCCTAAACAAGTTTGATGGACTTACTAAAAACATAATACTCTGCATTTTTAAAAAAATAAGATTCCACATTCCATTATTTTCTCTAAGGGAGACTGATGATAGAAGCACACTACTGCATGTCCTACAGCAAAAGTTCACTGTAACTTCAGCCTCAGGTCCAGCAGCTGGGGCAGACAGGAAAGCTAAGGTCAGATAGCTATGCCACCTGAGCTCCCTCCTACCCCGTCATTCCCACCCCACACGCTGCCTGCCTCAAACACGAAAACACCGGCTAGGAACATTTCCAACGAAAGATCAACAATATTTATCACCCTCAGAGTCTCTGCAGTTGAAAAATTAAGTACTATTTCTCACAAAAATTATCTTTTATTTTCCTCTTAACACTCTCAAAGTATGTTTTTTTTTAGTATCTGATATAATTTTGTTTGCACAATAAAGTAAATGAAACTGCAAGTCATCCTAATTTTATATTAGTAAGCACCCTTTTATGAAAGCATCAATAATACACATTGCTCTATGTTCTCTTAAAACTGTAATTGCTTGTTCACATGAAACTGTATCTCTATCATGCAAATAAAACATGACAAGTCCAATAATGATCTCAAAAAAGATGTTCACAATCCTGAGAAAGGGTAAAAAGTGCTTAAAATATTGCTGCTTTATAGTACCCAGCAGATGAACTGCTTCCTTAGAAACAACGTATCTAATGGCTAAAATCACATATTAGTCTTGGGCAACACAAGTACTAACTTCAGCTATTTAAATAAGTCCTTTGAATAAATTTTTTAAAAGATTTAAAAAAATTTTTTTTCCGAACTTGATCAGTAATCTAAAGAAAAATTTAAAGCCGGGCGTGGTGGTGCATGCCTGTAATCCCAGCACTCGGGAGGCTGAGGCAGGAGGATCGTTGTGAGTTCAAAACCAGCCTGGGCTACAAAGTGAGCTCGAGGCCAGTCTGAATTGCATAGCGAGACCCTGTCTCAAAAAGACAAAAAAAGAAAAAGAGAATAGGAAAAAGGAAAAATTTAGCAAATATAGGAAAAGATCAAAAAGAACCAGCCTTGCAAACCACAATATAATTCATAATTACAAATAAAGAAGGCCTCTAAAAAACATTCAGAATCTTAAATACAGTACTGAGTTTACTTTTGGGTTATCACCTAATTATATACGTGTATGTCTCATTTAAACCTGTTTGGTAAACATGCTATATAAATGTTATCTACTCAAGTATCAAAGATAATCAGTCAAATAGGCCATTTAAATATTCCCTAAAAATTAAATTGTTTAAACTAAACAAGACTCTCTCAGGTTTATATACAAGTGACACTAAAATTTTATTGTCTGGTCCAATTTCTCCCATAGCTTAAAAAATATATATATCCTTCATTTAATGAAATATGAACAGCCTACAAAGTCAAACCAAAAATTCAAATAAAATAAAATATATATATTTAAATTACAGCCAGTTAATGAGTACTTTTTTTTTAACTAAAGAACGTAAAGTATACATGCCTATGTTTATGTATACAAGAGGGATACACAGAAAATATGAATGTATGTTTTTAAAAAATATTTGAGGGGCTGGGGATTTAGCTCAGAGACACAGCGCCTGCCTGGCAAGCACAAGGTCGTGAGTTTGATTCCCGGTACCGGGAAAAAAAAAAATAATAATAAAATAAAATAAAAAATATTTGAAAGTAAAATTTTCAGTTAAAAATATGCAACAAAGATTTTGGTGATTCTTTTGAAAAATAAGCAGATCTTGTCTTTACTCCCTGAATTTGATACACACACCCTCCTACCCTCTCCTAAAAGGACTTTTTCCTCTCACTTAACCCAAGGCAGTAACAAAATCAGAATTCGCATTCTTTAAGATGAAAGGCATTTTGCTGACGATCCTGATTTGATAATTTTACAGTTAAACAAAACTAACTCCATTTTCAAAAATCCATTATCTCTAAGCTTTTAACAAACATTCTCCAGGGGAGCGATTCCAGTCAGTATTTACTGATTCTCAGTTTTGTACAGTTGGAGCCCTGGGATGTGTGGCATTAACATCTCTTAGTGAGTGCGGGTTCTTCCCCTTCACAGCAGAAGGAGCAGCCTCTACTCACTGGGAATCTCTGGGGTCCCACGGCGGGCCGCGGCTGGCTCGGAACTGGCAGCAAGGGCACTGCAAGACAACACCTTGTGTTACCATCAGTTTCCATCCAGCACCACAAGAAAAGCAAACAACCTATAAAGTCTCAGGTAGGACACACAATGCATGCAGTATACATGCCACAACACGCTAGTTTGCACAAGTTAAGCAGAGGGGAGAGCAGGTTTTCTTCAGTACACAACAGCATAAGCTGAAGCTGTGAATTGCTATTAGCAATTGTAATATTTTTGCAACAAAAGATGGTATTCCTCTAAAATAAAAACCTAGCTTGTTTTCTATGTCCTACCTAGATTATACAGGCTACCCAATTCCAGTGAGATATTTTCTACCCTAATAATACACAAATTTAAAACGAAATGCTCTAAAATCATGAAAAGGAAGGAGGAAATAAGGCAAACAGAAAGAAAAATAACATATAAGAGGAACTAGTGGAAATGCTCACACCCTTACGAAGAATAACCAAACAAGCAACCTATTATTCTAAGACTTTTAACTGTTTTTGTTTTCCAACAACCAGATCTTTCACTGACCTACCAAAAGACTAAGGAATCATTTTTAAGACATTTCACAGTAAGGAAGAAGTGAAATGTTAGTTTCACATCTTAAGGCTAAATCAGATATGCTAAGCTCTTTAAAATGTGCCCCTATACTGATCTTGACTTCTGAAAAAAGCTCACCATCTCTAAGGAAGGCATCCGCATCCTTCACTCAGATATACTGCTACATGTACCTAGGAAGCTCTGAGATGAAGAGCTGGGGAATAAATTCTGTCCCCAAATCTGTATGTTGAACCTATCTCTAGGACCTCAAATGTGATGTGTTTGAAGACAAGGTATTTAAAGAGGTAGTTAAGGTAAAATGAGGTCTTTACAGTGCGTTGTAATCCAACCTATTTTTCTTGTAAGAAGAGCCACACATCGAGGGGATGATGTTTGGACACGGGGAACGAGTGACTACCTACAAGTGAAGGACAGCCTGTGCGAACCTTCCCTTTTGGGGGTGCAGACTCCACACTGTGAGAGTGTGAATTCTCTAAGCATCCAGTCTGTGGGACAAGTTGAGTAATCCCACTGCTGATGAGAAGCTGCAGTTACCATCAGTACTGCCTACACCATATCCTGGCCTTCACCTCAGAAAGGAACCTCAGAGGCAGCTCTGTGTCCCTCTTCAGTCCTAGAAGGTGGCCTCAGGACTTCTCCCCTCAGACTGCCTGTGCCCCCGACCTCCCACTCAGGTGCAGGTACCAGCCCCAGAGCACCACCTGCCGCCACCCTACCAATGGCTCTGCTCACCGTGGGAGCCGTGGTTATCAGTTTCATCTCAGCACACTGTCCAGTCCTGCCAGGACAAGCTTTCCCTCTTGCCTGCATCAAGGATTTATTTTCCTAAGTATGCATTGTAACCTTCCATATCTTAAAAAAACCTTTCTCTCAAGCCTTCTCCTCCCCATCCCTCACTACCAATAAATCTGTTTTACAGAACACTGCCCAAAGCCTGGCAACAGTGACTCACACCCTGTGCCCTTCTCAGGCAGCCTCTCCCCTCCTCTTCATCCCGGAAACTCAAAGGCCTTCCTGCCACGCCACTCTCCCATCTGCTGGTCACTCATTTCCTCTACTCAGATGTAATACACCTGACAAAGTTTCCAGTCTCCCCCTCAGTGATGGCAACTCACCCCCATCCTGCCCACTGGCATCTACAAGCAGCCCGTGCAACCCCTGCTGCCAGCCAATTTGCTCCCCAGGCTCCTGTCATCACCTCCCACTTCCCCCAGGTTGCCCGATGGGCCCTCACATAGAACAGCGTATGCCATGCAGCACCATTCCTCACAACCTGAAGAAGAAAGCCAGGTCCCTGGGACAGCTCAGACACAACTTGGCTCTGCACCTCTTCTCTGCTTCTGTCACCCTTCTAAAGCCACACTGGTCTCCTGGTAGTTATTCCAGCACATGAAGCTATCTTGAGTAAGACCCTGGTACTTGCTGGTCCCTCTGCCTACGACCTTACTCCCTGAAAAGCCAGCCACTGAAGCCACCCTAAGCACTCCAGCAGCCCCTCTCCACCTTCTCTGTGCCCCCGCTGCTCTGTGCTGAGCCACACATACCCTCACCACTACACTGCCTGACACACCGGTGCAGTCCACGAGATGGCAGTGCACGGCTCCAGAGAGCGCTGACTGCTCTATTTTCACGCCTGAGGCAGCAGGACAAATTGGCACACTGAGAAGTGCACACTGCCACACAGAAGGCAAGGTGCTGCATTCAACTGCTCACAAAAGCACCCAGCGCTGGCCAGTGTTCCTGCTGCTACAGCACTGACAGCAACTGCAAGATGACCTGGGGTGAAGGAAAGGAGCACACTGGGGGACATCCAAGAAGGTCACTCATTACTTTCAGGAATGCCTCAGGAGCTACATGAAGTCACTACTCAGACATCTCAACAGCTACCTCTATAGGTGCTTCCACTGACAATGCCCTTCAGTACTTACCACTCAGGCAGAAAACATGGGATCGTCACCGTACGGAAATGAACTTGGCCATCAAAGAAAGCGTGTCTAAGGGATGGGTAAGGGGCCAGGGAACAATGTCTATTCACAGACTTGAATTTGGGAGCACTCTGCCACACAGACAGCACGGCCCTGTCACAGCACCTGTAACCAGCACCGGAACAGCACACGCACCTTGAACAGGGGTCACCACCGTGCCCTTGAAGTGTGGGTTGATGTGGATGTTCTTGGGCTGCTGCGGAGTCACAGGAGGCGGCGTCAGCATCACTCGGGGGGCCTCCATCTGGGGGGGCATGTGCACACCCTGGGGCGGGGACGGGTGGTGCGGGTGCTGCAGTGGGAGCAGAGGCTGCGGGTGCTGCTGCTGCTGGAACAGGCTCCTGATGGGCTGCTGCTGTGGCGGAGGCGGAGGGGGTGGCTGTGGTTGCGGAGGGGGGATCAACCTTGGAGAGTGAGTCTAGAATCCACAAAAAAGAAAAAGACACAGAAATCAATACTTGCAAGAAACCTAAAGAATTATTTGCATTTTTAAGAAAAAAAGTCTTTAAAAAAATTGAGGATTTAAGTCCACAATGACAACTTGTACAAAAACCCCAGGAAAATTAAGCTGCTCCACTGACTGCCAAGAAGGACGGCATCACAGCCAGTCCACAGCAAGGAGGAGAAAAAATGGCAGCTCCAAAATACCCAGCATAAACTTAAGAAAAACCTGTAGTCCAGCAAGCCAAACTGCTCACAGCGAGCAAAGCTAACCAGCTGGGGATCAGACAGAGCTGCCCGCGGCCTCCAGACATGGCAGACCCCATTCCTCCTGCTCCAAGAGTCTCAGAGAGCAGACCAGAATACATGTGAGCAATCCTGCCATAGACCTCAGACTTACAAAAAGACCAGGGGTGAATAGTCACTCTACTAGGACAGGGCGGGGGGG